ATTGTTTTAAATTAATACTGATTTGATTTTAAATTAATACTGATTTTGATTATTAATATGTTAAAAATAAGGAAAATGACATATTTAACCTATTTTTTTAATCGTTTTAAGTTGATTGTTGTAAATGTTTAAAATGAAAAAAAATAATTTATTTTACCATAACTTTTAGCTCAATTGGCAAGTTTAACATTGACATCATTAAATAGAATATTTTATGAGAATTAAAAAAATTGTATCTTTAAGATACAATATGCAGCCAGAAAGTTTTATAATTACTATTTATTGTAAATTTATCAGAAAAGCTCAATATTTTTTTGCATTTTTATGGTAATAGATAACTTAAATAGAAGTAATAGTAATAATTTCCTAGGAACTTTTGTTGTTTGTTGAAAAGATTCTATAATTGAAATATTGAGAACTTAATTAATTTTAATGATTTACTTTAACTAAATGTACCAATTAAAACAAAGTTGTTAAAAAGATTTTTTCAATTGAGCGTATTATAAAATTTGATTATATTTGTAAAAATCAATTGTTAATTCAGGAGAAAAAACAATCATTTTTTTTAGAAATGATTTATATAGCAACATGTTACAAAAAAAAATTGTAATATTATAGTCTAGTAGTAGCACACACAAATAGAGTAAAAAAATTATTAAATTACAAAGTAAAATGATTTAATTTGGTAGTTGAAAANTTATTAAATTACAAAGTAAAATGATTTAATTTTGTAGTTGAAACCTATCATATCAAACTTCATTCGTTAATAAATATTTTGAAAACATTAGAAATTAATGATTTTAATTGTCTTTATGGAGACGATGTAATAACTAACTGTTTAATTGATAAATTAGAATTTTTTTTTCAATTGTTGAGGGTAATATCTTCAACTAGATACGAATTGTAGTCATTTGACGTATCGCTGAAAAAAGTAGGTCAAGTTAGAGCAGAGAAAATAAATGGTAGTCACAAAAAAATATCTCCTCAGCTTTTTATCGAAGCTAAAACTTAAAATATAGTAAAATAATTTTAATACGAATAATAAATTTCTTCTTGAAAGGGGCGACTAGAGTGATGTGATCCTTGATCTTTATTGAAATTATTGAATCTAAATGTGATAAAAATCAAACGAGTTAAAAATTTATACTAATTTAAAAAGAATTAAGAAAAAATGCAAAAAATTCATTGCCATACGCTGCTTGGAATCTCGTACCCCAAGCGTGTAAAACATTAATTTATAATATCAAGAATTTTTTCACACAAATAGCGTATTTTTGCATACGGTAGTCATTTTCACCATGAATACAAGTCCAGAGGTCAAATTTTTTTTTTCAAATTAAAGTATATTACATTAGCTTTAATTTAAGGTATATATAAAAGTGTCAGTGTTTCCGGAACATTTTCAAAAGTTAAGTTGAAAAAGTTAATTTTTTGTAAAAAATCTACCATTTTGAAACCCTTCCTGTGGGCTGTTAAAAGGCCAAATGTTCACAAAAATATAAAAAATGATAGGTAAATGTCTAAGGTATCTATAAAAAAAAATTATATTGATTCGATCATTTTTAAAAAAGTTAAGGTAATTCNATGATTACAATTTCATCTTGCAAGTTGAGCTAAAAGTTATGGTAATAATTTTTTTTTTTTATTAAAACTTTCACTTTAATGGACAAATAAAAGTAGGTTAAATATGATTACTTTTAACATATTAAAAATCAAAATCAATAATAATTTGAAAAGAATTAATTATAATATACTTTGTTTTTTTCAATTGATTGGGTTATGATAAAAAAATTACCTGTGTATTTATACAATTTATAGTTCATATTAAAGAGCGTATCCATAATAGAGTAAATACACAGTTTTAAATGAATTGGTAAATCTAAATCCAAGGCAACATATTAGAATTATATGGAATTTGTAAGTAGGTTTTTGGAAAAATATCTGGTCTGATATTAGTTTGAAAAAAAAATTTTGAGATAAGGCCAACTACATCCGATTTTTTATATACACGATAGCTCAAAGTGAAATAGTATCAATAATAAATTTACAAAAAAATCGTTTTACAGATTAAATATTTAAAAAAAATTATCTAAAATCAATTGAAATTAATTCCCTGGAATATTGTCTTTGGATTTAAATCAATTTTAGTGATTTCAGCTATACATTTCAATTAAGTTCATTTTTAATCTATTTCTACGCTCTGACACACATACACAAACACCTATATCTATAATTATATTATAGTATTATATTATGGTATTTAAGTGATACTTTAGTATCTTCTGAAAATCTACCTATAATCACATTTGATGCTCGATGGACGAAATAAAACCTACAAAAATCAAGAGTATGACACAAACATTTAACATAATATTACAAATACTCCATTGAGTATTTGTAATATTGACAACAAATTCAGTTTACAGTTTGTTTTTAGACTTTCTATTTGAGTATTTTTAGTTATTATTTAAAAGTATTACTGCAAATATTTAAAATGAAAACGATAATAGTGATGTATCAATAATATTTTGTATTAAACAAAAACAAATTTGATAAGTTAGTTTTAAGACTAAAAAATCATAAGTAAAATATATGTATTGTTTTTGGAGCCTATGGAATAAAAAACATTTGTTGTCAGGCCAAATCAGAGTCTTTTTAAATCACAATAAGACTGCGAGAATTATTAAAATATACAGAGTGATTTTTTTATCATAACCCACTCAATTACTTATAGAATAATAATAATTAAAAAAATTTTTTTTTTTANATATACAGGGTGATTTTTTTATCATAACCCACTCAATTACTTGCAGAATAATAATAATTTAAACATTTTTTTTTTTTATTATTTTTAGTTACACATTATTCTTGAATTTTTAACTATGTAATACTTTTTAAGTTCATCCCTTATGCCTTGGAGGGGGGTCAACTTTGTTTTTTTAAATGGTAATACATTTTTAATTTAATAAAATGTTTGAGTTTTTAATTTAATAGTAAATGGCATTTGAATTTTTAATATAACTTTATTAGCTTATTAGATATAAACATTTAAAGTTTCAAAATTTTGAGTTAATATACATGTATAATACACAAGGGATTACAAATTCAGGTAGCTAATTGTTTTTTTCAATATCAATATTCGTAAGTACACGATGTTATAAAAAACCTATTAGCTACCTATATTTGTAATCCCTTGTCTATTAATTCAAAAATTGAAACTTTAAATGTTTATATCTAATAAACAAATTAAGTTTCATTAAAAATTCAAATGCCATTTACTGTTGAATTAAAAACTCAAACATTTTATTAAATTAAAAATATGTGTTACCATTTAAAAAAACAAAGTTGACACCCTTAACAGGCATAAGGGATGAACTTAAAAAATATTGCATAGTTAATAATTCAAGAATAATGTGTAACTAAAGGTAGTCATAAAAAAAAAAATTTTAATTATTATTATTCTGTAAGTAATTGAGTGGGTTATGATAAAAAAATCACTCTGTATATTAATAAAAATTACTTCCTCCGTGATGAGTGATATTCTTTTTCAATTTGTGGTACTTGTAAAATGACTCTTGTAACATGTCAATTGTTCATCTGTTACAGCAACAGATGAACAATTGATCGAATAAAAAAATAATTATAAGACAATATTTGTTAGTAATTATTTGTTTTTATCACATTATAAAGTTAAAAGTAGGTGTGCCTATTTACAAAAATTAAAGTTAATTAAAGTTTTTTTTATCGTTAATGAGATGAAAAAATTTATTTTACTGTATATTATTGTAAGTTTTAAACCAAATAATTTTCTCTTTACGAAAATTTAAAATTTTCAATAGTTTCTGAGAAATTGAGTATCTCACAAATTCAATCATTTTGTATTAAAATTTTTTTTGAAACTTTTTGAAAAATGTATATATCAGCACAATTTTTTTTTCTTAAATACATTATAAGTACATCTTTCATTTGACATACTTTTTATTAAAATTGGACAATTTCCCCTTATATAGGGGGCGTTCAAAACTTGAAATATTGTAAAAAACATAGATCTTTTTCAACTGAACTTTTGAAAATGTTCCGGAAATACTGCGTCCTTTAAACATATATCAAATCAAAGGTTATGTTATATACTATCAAATGAAAAAAATAAATTTGTCCCGACATCTTATCTTCTATGTGCAAATGGCTGTCGAAAATTAATGTTTGCGATAAAAATTAACTTTTATTGGGATGTTTTTTGTACTTAAAACTGCCATAACTTTTTCAAAAATGAACAAATAAAAATAATATTTTTTTGTATTGAAACCTTAGATATTTCCCTTTCATTTGATATAATTTTTTTTGAAAATCTAACACTTATTCTGCTCACTGGGAGGATTTAAAATAGTAACTTTTTTACAAAAAATAACTTTTTCAACTTAACTTTTGAAAATGTTCCGGAAATACTGCGTCCTTTAAACATATATCAAATCAAAGGTTATGTTATATACTATCAAATGAAAAAAAAAATTTGTCCCGACGACCTATCTTCTATACGCAAATGGCTACCATATTCAAAAATATACTATTTTAACAAATTTTTTTTTTTAAATTGAACACTATCTACAGATTTGCATCGAAGCGCTTTTTATGATAGTGATTTTAATCACTGTTAGATATCATCTATACTTGACCCAACTATGCCACGACCCCACTGTGCCGCCACCCCATTGTGCTGGGTTTTTTTTTATCACATTACAAAGTTAAAAGTAGTTGTTCCTATTTACAAAAATTAAAGTTAAGTTTTTTTTATCGTTAATGAGATGAAAAAACTTATTTTACTGTACATTATTGTAAGTTTAAAAAACAAATAATTTTCTCTTAACGAAAATTAAAAATTTTCAATAGTTTCTGAGAAATTGAGTATCTTACCCAAATTCAATCATTTTGTATTAAATTTAAAAGAGTTATCTAATAATAATTATTCAAAATTGAAATTTAAAGCTTAAAATAATTTTTAGTTCCAACAAATATTGTAGAATACAACAACAGAGAAGTCAGTGAAGGTGACGTCAATCATGAACATAAACAATCAGTAAATGAAAACTATTTTCCAGGAGGCTTCATGAATGCCAAAATATTGTGTGTATACATAAAAAAACACTTACCTAATGTTGCCAAGGGTATTACTCCTGAAATTTGTGATTGGTTTGTCCAAAATTTCGCAAAATCACAACCAGATAAAGGACTTGCAGAAGATGGTAAGAGATACGTTGNTCCAAAATTTCGCAAAATCACAACCAGATAAAGGACTTGCACAAGATGGTAAGAGATACGTTGTCTAAATTAATAGTAATTTTATAAATCTATCCGGACTATTAATATACACCCACTCAAAAAATTACAATTTAAACACGATTGCTATTATAATAATTTAATAAACGTAACCGGGGCATATTTAAAATTCATTTTAGCTGAGCGACTTAATTTTTTTTACTTTGGGAAACAAAAAATTTTTTTGCTAAAAGTCAAATTCATAAACAAATAAGGTTTCTTTTACCCATATTTTATAAATATTACATTTAAAAAATAATATTGATAGCGCATATTCATGGGATGATTGCTCCTAACGCTCTCCCTTAAATATGCAACTGTACACAAACAGGGGCTCCGGAACTATTTTTTACATGGAGGGGGGGAATTTAATGACTCCATTGATTGTAACTAAACTAAAAAATCAGGTTAAGCTATTTTTTTGGTGAATTTTAGTGCTCATGTTCAAGGTGATTTTATTATCATAACCCACTCAATTACTGTGTATTATACCTATATATTAACTTAAAAATTTGAAACTTTAAATGTTTATATTTAATAAACAAATAAAGTTATACTAAGAATTCATATGCCATTTACTAACAAATTAAAATATCAAAAATTTATAAATGAAAATGATAAATAATAAATAATAAAAATGAATAATATTAAAATTGTAAAATAAATATTTATAAAGTCATATGGCTTGACGCGTTTTAAACGTCTTAGGTCATTGGAATTGTCCAATAGTTGAATTGCCGCTATATTTTCATAGTTTTCCAACCTCATTATATGCTTACGTGCAAACCGAGTGACTTCATCTGCTACGGTTGGTAACATCATATCTCGATCAATTACATCATTTATATCGATCTGTCAAGGAGCATTCCCAGTTATTTAGTCGAATCTCTCTGTGGGATTATTTGTTGCTTTAGAAATATTGGAATGTCACATGTTTTACGTAGCGTGAAATTTACGTGCACTGACTTTTCATTGTTAAACCAGNGAATGTCACATGTTTTACGTAGCGTGAAATTTACGTGCACTGACTTTTCATTGTTAATCCACATCTTCCAACGTTTCAACCACGTAGAAATGTTGATTAAGTTTATTTGAATCTGATCAGTAGCTACCTGTTGATTTTTGTTATTCTTAATTTTGCAGTATCATCTGCAAACATAGCGGTTGTTGAATTTATGTTGGTCAGAATGTCGGCCGTGTGAAGTAGATACAATATAAGGCCCAATACACTACCTTGTGGAACTCCGGCTGCTATATTTTTCCAATTAGTTAAAGCTCTGTCATGTATGACGCGGAACTGTCTTTCAGTCAAATAGGACTCGAGTACTGTACACCATGAGTTTGGTAATTGTTCACGCAAATTTAAGCAAGCCTTTATGCCAGAATTTATCAAAAGCCTGGGTTATGTCAAGGAATACTCCGCAACAATAATTTTTTTCTTCAAACGCGTTACTTATTACGTTTGTTACACAATGAATTTGGTCTATAGTTGAATGTTTGTTTTCTAGTAGAAACAAACCCAGCTTTGTTGTAATTAGCTGATTTTAATAGTGCATGTCTTTTAGGGGTAATAATTCTTGATCCCCAATGAATATGTTATTAATGACTTTGACATTTGTTGCTTGTATGTCCATTGTTGAGTATGTCCAAAGGATTGGCAGTTTTTACATTGTGGCACACCTTTTTTTTCTTCAGAGGAGTTACTTTTATTTTATGATAACATAAACTATTTAAGTCGTATATATCTTTATTGTTATCTGGAGGATCAAGGTCTACAAAAAATAAAGGTAATTTTATTATAGTTATTTCACTATTTTTGTACTAGTATTTATTTTTTTCATAATTTGGATGTCAGTGACATCACTTGCATAATGACCATTATCTGCTAAGGCTCTTTTAAATTCAGATACTTCAATGTCAGGTGTAATCCGCTAGTTACAATACGAAAATTTTTTTTTTATTTTTAATTGATATCTGTGATACTGAATTTTATTTTTTTCAAGTACTTTTAAAATCGTCTCAACTTGTGTTCATCACCAGTCATAATTTTATTATCGCCGTTAGCAAAAGTTTTTAAATGTTGCTCATGACCAATGGCTTCTTTGCGAGTTATTTTAGAAATTAAATTGTTGATATTCTTAACACCACTGGCAGTTTTGTAGGTAGTTTATACATTTTTGGTGCAAGTTTTCATGAATTTTTTTCTATTTCTTTTACTTGTTTTGTTGATGAACTACGTGAAGCATCTGAGCTACAGTCTAGTTTATCACTAATAATTATCTTATCATACATGTCCATTGTTGACAAAAACGACGCACGTTTCTGCCGTCGCACGCAACTTGACCTAGATAACTGTTGATACATTTAGCACTTTACTGTAGTAAGCGATAACATTTTTCGTTATTGAGTGATTATTAAACAATACGCGCAAATTTGACCTGTAAAGCGGAACATACGTGTTACACGTTTAATAAATACTTCGTAACTATATATCTATTAAGTGAACATTATTATGTGATACTATTAATTTACTGTTGTTTTTCGAGGTCGATCTACTGTCAGGATGGCTGAACTATATTATTTAATGTTGCGACCGCCCGTCATTGTCTTTAAGTGTGGTGAGATGAGATTGTTATTAACCCCCTACAATTGGCGCGTCAAGATTTATTGCCAAAACATCACTCTCAGTACTCAATTGTCGCTGTCAGACTTGCAATCTTATGTCAAGATTTAGTTTGATCATTTTTGACGACTACCTTAATTCTTTCCATAACCTGACTCAAGTACTTATATGTTGTACCACGTCTGCACCTTGAACTCAGTTATGTCTTTCTCGTGGTACGCTTAATATGTGTGTCATGCACTTTGTCTGCGCCCTATAACTTTGTCGTAATTCTCTTAAACTTCTAATAATAACAGCTCTTGGACCGAAATATTATAAAAAATTTTTTTTTTAATTTATACTAAAATATATAAGGAAGAATGAAATAATTTATTTTAAAGGTTAACGTTTAAATAAATAGCACATTGTTTTTTGTCATTATTCAACTAAATGTTGCTCTAATTTTAATTTTGACAGAAACCCGGATTACTACGTACAAATACCTCGTTTAGTAATATTTATTATAGTCCCAATAAAATAGGTTTTTATTCATTTGAATTCTCTAATCTATAAATTCTACTGACAGTAAAACACTGCGCAGCGTATTTCTTATTACAGTGAACTATCTATAACAAGTCAAAGACCCTATTCATTTTTTTATTATCTATGGATTTGTAAAATATTTATAGACTACAAATTGTTAAGCTATTACATTATTTCACGTTTTAGCGATTAATATTTCTTTCACAACTAGTCAAAACGGCGGTTAGTTACAATAATCGAATACTTGTTCAATATTATGACTTATATCTTAGCTTCTTCTACGCCTTAAATTTTTGTTCAAAATTAAGATGCATATTGATTCAAATTAAATGCATAAGAAGTACATTTTTTTAATATATTTTTAAAAATAATATAATTTTAAAACAGTCCAATAGTGAGATGCGTGATAATTTTCACGGTTAGGAAAGTTTTCCAAACCACACAGCGTGGGAAAGTTTTCATAAACATAAACAAGTTAAATTTAAGTTCGTCAAAGTCAACTTTTTGTTTAAAATTTATAAAAAAACATAAATAATCAAAAAAGTTCTCTATAAAATAATATATTATATTTTTCTTTGTGACAATGGTTTTTTACGCATAAAAATTAATTACTATATTAAGAAAAAATTCTAAATGTTTATTTTCATTTAAAACTCACATGGTAGACACTAGTTAATTATTATTACAAATGAAACTCGCAAACCAAAAGCTTTTCAAGTTCAAGATTTCTAAAATTTAAATGTGTTCTTATATAGTTTACATAAATTTATCACAAATGCTTTATGTCCATTACTGTAAAACTGTTATTTGTCTTAAAAAAATTTTTTGATCTCTTTTAATCTAATTTATTATTATTTATTTATTTTTTTTATAGAATATGTTAATGTGATTTCGACAATTTTAAACTGGATTTATGAAACTGTAAAATAATTAAGATAAAAAATAATTTAATTTTT